GTAATCTGTTTTCTATACTATGCTATTCGAAAAAGAAAAAAAATTTCATTTCAAATGAAAACCAGAAAAAAAAATAAAAGATCCATTCACAAGCATTCATTTTATTTTCATATACACAAACAAACAAACAAAGTAAACGAAAACAACAAAACAACTCTCACTGACTTTGACTTTTTACCTTCATCATCAACATCATCATGATAATGCCCTTGCACCATCATTTTCATCATACAATTATGCAATCTGTTTTTCAACATTCAAACAAAAAAAAGAAATACAATGATGATGACGATAGAAGATAATAATAACCGTAAATATACGAAAAAAAGGTAATCAACCAACCAAAGCAATGAAAAGCAAAGTAAAACAACCTGTTTTGTTTCCATCAAGTTTGGATATATTTTTTTTCCTTTTCATTTAAAAGCAAAAAAAAAAAAATTTCTATGGAGGGGGTACGCACACACACACATACACACATAGGGCTTGAACAAAACTGGAAATCATCATCCATTCATGTTGATGATGTATTTCTCCATGAAATGAAATATGAATTAAAGAAACTGTACCTATTTCATATATGTTGATATAGGCGTGTGTGTCATTATCTTTCATTTTCATTCTCTTTCTCTCCCCTAACTCTCTCAAATAATGGTCATCATCATCATCATTTCTTTGATCGCGCCATCCATCCATCCAACCATCCATCCATTTATAGTTTGTACATCACCAGTCAGTGAACCGGTTTCGCCAGTTTTTTTTTCTATTTCTCTCTTTTAATGCAAAAAACTTCATCACCTGAATCTTTCGAGAACGAACAAAAAGTAAAAAAAGAAAAAAAATTCAAAAAGGGCATGGATGGATGACCAGTTTTTTTTTCTTCATCTTGATTTTCTTGGTTTTGATCTTGAAGAAAAAAAAAAGAAAGAAAAGTGTAATTGCTATTGCACAACGAGAGAAAAAAAAGGGGAAAGGAAAAATGATGACGACCCATTCAATGATGATGATGATGATGCCCTTTTACTTTTTTTTCTTTCTCTTTCTAAGATCATTACCTAACTAATAATAAATGCCAAGTGCAATCTTTACGTCAAAATCAGCTAGAATAAAAAAATACCATATGTGTCTAAATCATGTCCATAAATATTTCCTCCTCCACCAACGCCCCCCTTTTCAATCAATTTGTACAGGTGTATCGTAGAAATAGAAATAGACAATTGTTTCAATAGATGAAAAAAAAATTCCAGATGGTTTATCATTAACGAGAAATTTATACATTTTAAATATTAATTAAAACACACAGACAGACAGACAGACAGACAGATACACAAGCAGAAAAACATGATAATTATTAATCGAAAAATATTTGCTTTGATTGATTATTTGAAATATTAATTCATAATTCATTTTTTATTCTTCGATTTTTTTTATTACCATTTTGTGTGTCTGTGTTTGAGTGTCTGTGTCTGTGTGTGTGTTATTGTTGTCTATAACATTCATTGCACTTTTTACCATATTATGGCCGTATCCAAAGCAACGAACATTGACGTCTAGGTTAATGATAATGAATATTAAACACACACACACGCACACACACATACACAGAAAAACCTACACCTTGATAAATGAATTCCAAAATGAATCGGTCCAAATTTTCCTCAAGAATCGACAACACACACACACGTGCTTTAGTTATGACCCTTAATGAAATGGTATATCTGTGTGCAATACACATTTGTATTTTGTTTTTTACATTTGCTTATCGCTGACAAATGAAAAAAAACAACAACAAATGATTGATCCTCCTGGACAACCTAAAACAAAAAAAACCGGTACACTTTTTTTCTCTACTATTTGTCGACAAAAAAAACATGATTCTTTTTTTTCTGGTCACCATGGAACGTCGAAATCAGTCACCAGAAAAAAAAGGCAAATGAACAGAGCAAAAAAAAAAAAAAATTCTTCGTAACTACGAGACCAAGCAAAAAAACAACAACAACACAAAACATTCTATACATATAAAAATGAAATGAAAAAATAAAATGAAAAAAATTTTCACCGTAAATCATATCGGTATAACCACCACCAGCAGACCACAATTAATAATTGAAAATTGAAAATAAAACTCTATATTCTATTGTTCCGAGGATATCTTTATGACAAGCTGACTAAATAGAAGATAAGCTGATGATAAGTGTGTTTGTGAATGATGAACTTTCATTCAAAAAAACAAAATTCCTGGAATAAAAAATTAATATTTCATCCAGAATCAACAAAAATTTAAAAATAAAAATCACATGTAACGCCACCTAATGGCTATATTCACAATTATATGGAAATCAACAATCACCAGATGGTAGCAGTGTTGAAATCTATATATTCATATATGATGATGATGATGATGAAAAGATTAATTAAACTTTTTTTCTTTTCTAATTCCAATCAAAACAATCACACATTACATTCATAATCAACAAAATTATGGAGATGACAGCCATCAAAACCAAAAAAAAAACCAGAAAAAAATCCATCAGAAATATCGGATTTGAATCCAAAATGATGAGAATTAATAATTCCAAATTGTAGTATTCATGTGAGTGTGAAAGAGGATTTCCCGATCAAAAAATTCAATTCTCAAAGAGCTAAACTTTTGCATAATTGAAACAAACAAACAACAACAACGACAACTACAACAACAACAACAACAACAAAATACATTGATTGAAAAGAATTGTTCATATATATTAATATTAAATGTGATAAAAATAAATGTTGCTCTGTTTCTCTTTTTCATTACAAATACAATGTATCAAAAAAGCTAGTTAAATGGAAACAAAAATCAAACATAAAATGTGATTCCAGCATGTGATGGCCAGAACAAAAAAAAAAAAAAAAATACATTATAAAGCCATTTAATCAACACCGTAGGGGTGAGATTAAGATTTTCATTGAAATTTTTTTTTTTTTTTGATGATTTTCAGTCCTCATCATCATCATTAGTTCTGAAACCAAAATTAAATTGTAAGAATTCTCCAAGGTCTAATACTCAACAAACAATCTGATGATGATGACGATGAAAATCAATCAATAAATGGAAGCATACATTCCAGAAGAATATAGGAGAATAAAAAAGAGGTCTCAAAGACGCACGCGTATTTTTTTTTTTTTTTGGTATATATAATTGCAGAGCTAAAAATGAAAATTGAAAAAAAGGTCATCATCATTATTATCATTACGCACGCGATAACGGGGTTAAACAGAGACAGAGAGAGAGAGAGAGAGTGAAAGAGTGAGGGGTTAACCTTGGCCTAAACACAAAACAAAATCACAATATGTATGGCACTTTGTTTTGGATCTAAAAATCAACTATCACCATTCTATTCTTTTTTCCATTCATCGGTTGTTGAGCTTTTTTTTTTTCTCTCTCTCTCTTTTTAAACTCATTTCATGTCTCTCTGTCTCTCTCTCTGTATATGAGCAATGAACCATTTGTCCTCATAGCAAGGTCTTTCGACCGCGGTCAAAAATGTCATATATACAAAAAATCTAAGTAAGCTAGGTTTCAAGGGGAAAAAACATTACCACCACCAAAAGACCAGAGAAGAGATAACACAAAATTGTCAAGAAAGAGAAGAAAAAGATTGGAAAAAAGGTAAAAACACATACATACACACCAGCCTAAGTCGTCACATATTGAAAATAAATGTCACAGTGATTCGTGACATGATCGCGTGTCGTTCGTTATGGTTTTGTTGTAGAAAAAAAAATATGTCAGTCAATCGAATCAATCAATTTTTTTTAATCGGTTTCTTTAAGGTACCCTGCTGTTGCTTTTTGAACCATTTGAGAATGTTGAACCATAAATTTCTACAGTTTGTTGTATGAAAAAAAAAAAATTTTTTGGTCATCGACAACTCCCTCTTCAATATTTTTTATTCTTTTTGACGAAGAGAAAGTAATTTCTTGTGGTCAAATGTCATGAATATATTGGTAACGTTGTTGTCCATATACACACATAAACACTGTGGACTGACATTCTATCTATAGATATATATGTTTGGTTCATTCGTCAAGGTTCCACATAAACAGATATTTTTTTTTGTTTTGTTTGTTTGCTTCAAGGCGAAATTAATGGTGAAAAAAGACAAGAAAATGAAAATAAAAAGCTGGACGATATTTGAGTGTAAGAGAGTGTGGTTCCTTGTTTATGGTCACAAATATACACACACACACACACAGAGAACGAGTTACCCCTAAAGCATTTTTTATATTTTAAAAAGACAAAAAAAAATGACCAATTCCTAGGAAAAAAACCCAATATCTTAACAAGTGTGTGTGTGTTAATATCGACCCGAATATACACATAGATAGCACAGGCTTTTCATTTTCATTTTCATAGTCACCAAATATTTCTTGTGCAAGGAAATGATCATCATCAAATGATGACCTTCAAAAATGTGTGTGTGTGTGTGTGTGTGTTTTATATAAAGCACACATACATTGAAATCTTAGAGGGACAACAACAACAACAGCAGCAAAAAAAATAAACCAAAGTAAAGTAAAAGTTCGTAACCTTGGTGGTGTAAAAAAAATAAAAATAAGATGGAAAAAAACATAAAGATCAAGCAAGCTGGTTTTTTTTTGCTCGCTGTATATATCAAGTGGGTATAAAGTTCGAGTAAATAAAGAGACACAGTAACCTAAAAAATTCTAATGAAAACGATTTTTGGTGGGGGGAGGGGGTTGTGTAACCACCGAAAAAAAAAGAATGAATGATTGGAATCAATTCACAATCGTGATCACGGATGGTAATATGAGATATTTTGAATTTTTTTTTCTTGTATATATAAGTAAAAAATGGTTAATTTACTTGATTCTCGAGAAAAGAAAAAAAACTGACTTTTTCATGTCATGAAAGTCATTCCAATTTTGGTTAAATAAATAACTAAGAATTAAGGGTTATAATCATCATCATCATTATTATTATATATGGTTCTACTTACATGCTGAACCAAAATCACTATATGATGATGATGTTGGTGATGCAACCACACTATTATTGTTCGGTGTTGTTGGCATCTGATGTATTGTATTATTATGACCATTTATCGATGGTGGTGATGATGGCATATTTAATGAATCACTATGATGTTGACCACCACCATTAGTATGATGATGTTGATGATGATGATGTGGACCAAAGGCTTCATCATGTGGTCGTTTAAGGCCAATATTTGTACCGGAAATTGAAAAATGGCCATTTGTTGTCGTTGTTGTTGTTGTTGATGATGGTGATGGCAATGATGTTGTTGATGTTGCTGTTGGTGATGATGATGAGGTCAACATTGATGGAGGTGATGATTGAGAATTCTGTTGATAATGATGATGATTCCTATTGTTCATCAATAATAATGGCGGTGGTGGTGATTGATTATCACCACCATTTGGTATTGTCACCATAACCGGTGCCTGTTTTGTTGTTAATGTTAAAGGCGTTAAATGATGACCAGATGATGATATCGATGATGAATGATGATGATGATCCTGAGATTCTTGTTTGTTATGTTGATTGATTGTATTGGTGGTGGTAGATATATTGGCTATGCCACCATTGGCTGTTGTAATCAAAAGCTGTTGTTGTTGTTGTTGTCCTTTTGTCGAAAGATAATGTAATGAGAGATCTTTGATAATCGATGATGATGAACTACCTGTAACGGAAGTAGTAGCACCACCACCACCTCCACCACCATTCAAATGTGGTAGACGTGATATATTTGTTGCTGTTGTTGTTGTTGTTGATTTTACACCACCAATACCGGTGGTTGTATTAGATCCAGCCGTTGTTGCGGCTACTGTACTACCATTGACAGCCATACAAACTAAATCGGCTGTACATGGACTTGGTACACGTGGTTCCAATTTAATCTGCACTTGTGGTGAACTAGTTGGTGTTGTTACGGCGGCAGGTGATAATGATGATAATGTCGAAGATGTTGTTGGTGATGACAATGATGATGATGTCAAAATATTCTTACGATTAGCATTTACCACAATATTATTATTGTTGTTGTTGTTGTTATTGAAAAATTTCATGGCAAAATTAATAGGACCGTTGTTATTATTATTATGATAATGATGATTATGAAGTAAATGATGATGATGATGATGGTGATTGGTCGTTGATGATAATGATCCGTTATTTATAATTAAATCACCGTTATTATTATTATTATTATTATTGGCTAAAGTTGTTGTCGTTGTTGCTGCTGCTGTTGTTATTGTTGTTCGGCGTTGGTGGGCATTAGAAATAGCACCAGCGGTCGATATGTCCATCATTTGGACCACTGATGTTGACATGGTTTTTTTTTTGATTTGTTTATGATTTGTGTTGTCGTTTAATAATATAGACTATTTTGTGTGTTTGTTTTGTATTGATGAATTTTTTTTTTTGTTAAATGTGTCAAATGAAAATTTTTTTTTTTGTTTCTAATTAATTAGTGGGGAAAAAAATCAATGAAAAACGGAAGGAAATGGGTGGTGCAATCATAATACGATATATATGGATGCATACGATGATGATTACATTCGAAATCGAATGTATTGGAAATTATTTCATCTCTTTTTTACAAACAAATTGATTTGTAAATGTGGCCAAAAAAAAAAAGAAACTTTCACTTGGCCTTGGGATTTGTGTGTGTGTGTGTGTGTGTGTTTGAGATAGAGAGATTTAATGACTGACACAAATCGGACTATAACCAGGATTATTTATTTAGCACTGAACACACACACACACACACACCAAAATGTCGTCAATAATAATAATTTTGAATCCACAACAACAACAACACCAACAGAGAGAAAAAAAAATCCACCTTGCAATACATACAACGTTCGATGATCGGTTGAAGAATTTATTCATTAAAACAACAAAAATAGATGGTTGTTGGTGGACACAAAAACAAAATTCTCTTCAAGATTTAAATGATTGATATAGAAAAAAAAATCAAAAATAAACACGACTAGCGAATAATGATGATGATGATGATGATGATGAATTGCAAATTCACATCACACACACACACACACACTTGTGAATCAAAAAATAAAATGAAAAAATTATTTGCTATATTCACAGACACATATCCCTTTCATCGATGGAATGAAGCATCCCAGCAGAAAAAAAAGCCAAAACATCCCACCACCACCACAAATACAAACACACAAAAATATATTCAATATCAGTGTCAGTCGAGTCAATCAGTCGAATGTTTTAGTTTTTTTTTTAGTTTTAGTTTGTTTGTTGAAACATATACAAGTTGCGGCAAAAAAAAAAAAAAAAAGTTAAGCCATTCCACATTTACAACATATACAAACACAAACACATTCTCTATTTTTTTTTAATAATCAAAGAAAAGAAAATTTTTTTTTTTTTTTTTTTTTTTGTCAGTTCGATCACATTTCGTTGTCGTTGGTTGTTGTTGATGATAATGATAATTTCGGATGTCAACATCATATAACGATTTGAACAGAGTGAGAGTGATGTGTGTGTGTGAGAGAGAGAGAGAGAAATACGACCATCGACATTAATAATAAAAATAAAATAGCGTCATTCAAATTTAGAATTATGGGTCTCTCTGTGTGTGTGTGTGTATATCTTGTTGTTTATTGTGGTATGGATAGTTCAACATACAACATCAAACTGAGAAATGAAGATAGTAAGAGAATGGATATCTATCCCATACCATTCACACAGTTTGAATGAGACACATGTATATATATTTTTTTTTTTACGATCCATTTGTAAAAAGAATGAAGAAAAGGCTGATTGCCTTGAAATAAAAATGAAAATAGATTTTGCCACTACTTTGTTGGTCGTGGTCATGATCATAGCAGTGGTGTATGTTAAAAGTTTTTGCTGGTAGTAGTAGTAGTAGTAGTAGTGGTAGTGGTAGAAGCAGTTGTAATTGTAATTTTTTTTCAAAAAAAAATATAGGCGTCTATAGAAACGATACAAGGACAAATACACACACACAGACACACATACACACAATTGGAATTTATAGAGCCGGCGGAAAATACACACACACACACACACACACACAGGGTGTCATTCATATATGAAAGGCGTCAAATAAATTCTAAAGGAAAAGGAAGAAGCATCTAAAAGAATTGTGTGTGTGTGCAAAAAAAAAAAGATTAATAATATGATAGCAGTAAGTAGTAGTAAAAATTGTAGTGGTAGTTAGTATATATTATAATATTATAAATAAATATATTTTAAACTGATCACACCACCAATTTAGGTGGGTGGATAGATAGGGGGGTGTCCATTTTGATCGATTCGATTCTATATAATTTTTTTACAAACCAAAAAAAAAAAAAAAAAAATTCCATCAATACTGTATACTTTGGGATTCGATTCGATTATATATATTTTTTTTTTTATTCAACTTGGTCGTCGTCATCAGCATTATCATCTCTTGTTCTCTGTAGTCGTACGTTGGCCTTCATCCTCTTTTTTTTCCAAAAAAAAAAAAAAAAAAAATAAATAAATATATTGCATACATACATGTGGCCTGATTGCTTACTTTCTTCTTTTATTTCATTTCAAAGTTATCTTTTTTTTTTGATTCGATATTTCTGACTAAAGTGAATGGATTGAGAATGATGTGAATGAATGATTCGACATTCAAAAAAAAAAAAAACATAAAGATCAACGAATGTGAACAACACCATGATATATCGTCATTGACATTTTTAGAGGATTTTTTTTTGTTTTGTTTTGTTTTCATATTCATGAAAAACTATCTATTGCCGGTACATGTACGATGCAAACATTATACATCATGATAAAATGCTTCTACCCTTATATCAACAAGAATTTCATTCTGGTCATATTCAGGGCAAAAGCATCTAAAAAAAATGGAGATCACTAGTTCACTGTTGTGAGAGACAGAGAGAAAGAATCAATTCAACTCCAACGCCGCCGTTCACATTCACCATTCAAGTCAATCACATTCATTCAGTAAAAGGAAAAAAAATTACGTAGAAATTAGAACCAATCGACCCCATAAAACAGCAAGAAAATTGGTCGATTCCATTTTTGGTTGATGATGTAACACTCTAGGTTCCACATTCACACACACACACACACACACACATTCTGTGTGAATGTATGGGTTTTCAGGTCAAGTTTTCCAAAAGAAAAAATCGATGCTATTTAAAATGGGAATAATCCATAATGTGGTGCATGTGTGTGTGTGTGTGTATGTATGTCTCATGGACGATGTGTGTTTGTTGATGCGGCATTAACTGTGGATGTTGCTATATATAATAATGATAATAATGTTGGATTCGATTTACGCAAGCACAGTAAAATAGTGAATGATGATTTGAGTGTAAACAAGAATAATAATAAGCTGCGAAAAAAAAACCAGCTGGAAAAAAAGAATTTAAAAGAAAAAACAAAAATTCAAAGAACCCTAAAGTGATGGATAAATGGCCAAGAATTTTTTTTTTCATTTCTTTTCAAACGCTAAAAATAACTCATAGAATCGAAAGTTGAAGACCATGAAAATAGAAAAAAAGAATCAAGCAATTAAACAACCGAACAGGATTCTTTAAATGATTTGTTTTTGTTTTCTATTAGAATATTATCGATATTGATCACATGAATGATTGTGTTTTTTTTTCACTTTTCATCAAGTAGGTAGTAAATAGTTTTTTTTTTGCTGTAGTTAGTGTATGTGCGTGGGTGTATTGATTTTTTTTCTTTTTTTTTGATCATAAATCTTACACGTACATCCAAAAAAAAAAACAAATCCTTTTTGATGATGTGTAATGTGTACTGATGATGATGATGAAAAATTTTCAAAATTTTTTTTTAAATGATTTATTGCACTCTGGAAAAAAAAGTGAAAGTCCACTGATGATGTGTAATGTTTTTGATGAAAGCAAGAAAAAAATTTAAAAAAATTTAAATGTAAAAAAGCAGAGAAAAAATTTTACCCTTTTTACACTGAATAAAATGTATGCCAGTAGAACAAACAACAGTTTTTTGTCATTGAAATGATTGACCTCGAAATTTTTTTTTCTATTTCTATATTTATTTTTTATCCATTGCTTCCGATTGGTGTCGAGAGGCGAACTGTGTGTGTGTGTGTGTGTGTGTGTGTTTGTGTTCAAAGTAAGAAATTCGATTGGTTGGAAAATGAATGAATGAAAAAACAAGTTACACCTGGTTATTTGATGTGACCACTGTGAATGTTGATGATCAAAGGTCAGTTTTTTCTATGTTTACGGATTTATCGTTCCAACTTTTAATATAAATAGAAAAAAATGTCACACACACACACACATTCAAAGATTTGACCTCCTCGGTCATTGGGTCAAATGAATACGGTGGATGGACCTGTATGTGTATGGAAAAAAAACCAGCATCATCGTTGTCGAATTCCCATGGATTTGTAATCGATGAATAATAAAAAGAAAAGTTGCACAATACTGAAACCAGATGACCAAAAAAAAAAAGAAAAAAAAACAAAGAAAGAAATCCCAAAGCTCAAAAAATCAATACAGATTTGAATTGAGGGAAAATTATTCAAGGACTTTTTACCGAAACGAAATCTTTTCAATGATCATGAAGTAAAAGTAAAAGTCTTACGATGCATATACACATACTATGTGGAGAAAGTGTTTGATGGAACCAAGCCTTAAAAAACCTTGTCATTGCGTTCTTTCTTTTCCTTTTTTTTAATGTCTCAAAAAAAACATGACCAGAATGATTAAAATGAATGTTTTTTTTCTGGGAAAATGTGTAATCATCATCATGGTCAAGGTTGTTGTTGTTGTTGTTGTTTTCGTCGTCGTCGTATAAATCAGATTTTGAATAAATTCGAGGAAAAAACCTTGAAAACAAACACAACATAAGCACTATGGTAAAAAATCCAAGGTCTAGAAAAATTGTTGCACCAACAACAACAACAATAAAAAAAACACATGTCTAAAACATCCAATATCCGGTTATAGTCGGCAACGAATAATCAACCATAAATAAAGTTACCCGAACATCAATGGGTCAAGTTTTTTTTTTGCTTGTTGCTACACTCACACTGACGAATTTGAATTTGGTTCATTTTTCATTTCATCATACACACACACACACACACACACACACACACACACTGGGTCACGACCTTCATGTCAAAGGGTACTGGAGTACAATCATTATATGGCCCCTAAGGGTTTGATATTGTTCTGTTTTTCACACACCAACCAACCAACCAACCAACCAACCAGCTGACCTAATTGTCCTACTAATCGACATTGATAACCCGTTGGTAGTAACACAATAAAATGCAGGAGGCACTCATCATCATGAAAATAAAAGGGGACACATATGTGTGTGTGTGTGAGATCAATCAAATTCAAATGTTAAATTTAATTGTGGCAACCGAACAGCTGATTCATATCAAGGTCAACTCTTTAATTTTTTTTGAAAATCTTGTTTCCGTATTTTTATTATTAAAATAATCATCAGGTAAAGATGCGATAATTTGGAAAAAACTTGAACCTGGTTTTGAAAATGTAGGTCAACGACTATTTGATTAGTGTATTTTTTTATATTTATTCTTATCAGTTCCAGAAACTTTCATTTCATTTCGATTTTGAATGCAGAATAAATGTGTGCCATTTATATTTGTTTTTCCTCTTACATGAATTCTGTTTGTGCAACGATCGATCACATGCATGAACTGTAAATTCCTCGTTGTTGTTGTTGTTGTTGCTGCTGTTTTTTGTTCGTTTTGTTCCTACGAATTCTACTTTTAAATGAAATAAGGTCGTTATTTTATCTGGCTAAATATGGCAATTTATAACGAATGATGGTTATATTTGCTGTTGACACCGGAATAATGTATGTCAAACAAAACAAAAATAAAACGGAAACCTGGCCAAAAGAGGAAAAAAAACAAATGGAG